CGGGACCGTGAGATCAAAGATGGAATATTCCGTTAACGTGAGACCAGTGGTGGAACATTCCGGGACCGTGAGACCGGCGGAGAGAGACGCCCCGAGTTTTGTAGGGCGGTCGGAAGGCTTCGGAGCCTCCACCACCGCCACCACCTCCACCGCCACCACCACCACCACCACTGCCACCACCACCACCGCCACCACCACCACTGCCACCACCACCGCCACCGCCACCACCACCACCACCACCACCGCCACCGCCACCACCACCACCACCGCCACCACCACCACCACCACCACCACCACCGCCACCACCACCGCCACCACCACCACCACCACCGCCACCGCCACTACAGCCACCACCACCGCCACCATCATCACTGCCACCACCACCGCCACCGTGCACGGTAGATTGGGAGGGTGGCGGTGGATGTGTTGGCAGTGGTGGTGGTGGTGGTGGCGGCGGCGGCGGTGGTGGTGGTGGTGGTGAATGTGGTGGTGGCAGTGGTGGATGTGTTGGTGGTGGTGGCGATGGTGGTGATGATGGTAGCGGTGGTGAATGGGTTAGTAGTGTTGGTGGTGGTGGTGGCGATGGTGGTGATGATGGTAGCGGTGGTGAATGTGTTAGTAGTGTTGGTGGTGGTGGTGGCGATGGTGGTGATGATGGTAGCGGTGGTGAATGTGTAAGTAGTGTTGGTGGTGGTGGTGGCGATGGTGGTGATGATGGTAGCGGTGGTGAATGTGTTAGTAGTGTTGGTGGTGGCGATGGTGGTGATGATGGTAGCGGTGGTGAATGTGTAAGTAGTGTTGGTGGTGGTGGTGGCGATGGTGGTGGCGATGGTAGCGGTGGTGAATGTGTTAGTAGTGGTGGCGATGGTGGTGGCGATGGTGGTGGTGATGGCGGTAGCGGTGGTGAATGTGTTAGTAGTGTTGGTGGTGGTGGCGATGGTGGTGATGATGGTAGCGGTGGTGAATGTGTTAGTAGTGTTGGTGGTGGCGATGGTGGTGATGATGGTATCGGTGGTGAATGTGTAAGTGGTGTTGGTGGTGGTGGTGGCGATGGTGGTGGTGATGGTAGCGGTGGTGAATGTGTTAGTAGTGTTGGTGGTGGCGATGGTGGTGATGATGGTAGCGGTGGTGAATGTGTTAGTAGTGTTGGTGGTGGTGGTGGTGGCGATGGTGGTGGTGATGGTAGCGGTGGTGAATGTGTTAGTAGTGTTGGTGGTGGTGGTGGCGATGGTGGTGATGATGGTAGCGGTGGTGAATGTGTTAGTAGTGTTGGTGGTGGCGATGGTGGTGATGATGGTAGCGGTGGTGAATGTGTTAGTAGTGTTGGTGGTGGTGGTGGCGATGGTGGTGATGATGGTAGCGGTGGTGAATGTGTTAGTAGTGTTGGTGGTGGTGGTGGCGATGGTGGTGGTGATGGTAGCGGTGGTGAATGTGTTAGTAGTGTTGGTGGTGGTGGTGGCGATGGTGGTGATGATGGTAGCGGTGGTGAATGTGTTAGTAGTGTTGGTGGTGGCGATGGTGGTGATGATGGTAGCGGTGGTGAATGTGTAAGTGGTGTTGGTGGTGGTGGTGGCGATGGTGGTGGTGATGGTAGCGGTGGTGAATGTGTTAGTAGTGTTGGTGGTGGTGATGGTGGTGATGATGGTAGCGGTGGTGAATGTGTTAGTAGTGTTGGTGGTGGTGGTGGCGATGGTGGTGGTGATGGTAGCGGTGGTGAATGTGTTAGTAGTGTTGGTGGTGGTGGTGGTGGCGATGGTGGTGGTGATGGTAGCGGTGGTGAATGTGTAAGTGGTGTTGGTGGTGGTGGTGGTGGTGGCGATGATGGTAGCGGTGGTCGTCCGGCAAAATAACCCATGACCTCCTCGTTGGCCCCGGCCGGCAGCGCTGTGGTTGAGCGGTGCCATGGGCAGGAGGGCCGATGTGGACCTCTGGGACGGGTGACCCCTTCCACCTTCAAATAAATGACCAGGATATCACGGGAAAAAAAATAAATATATCAAACGAAGCTTGTGCCTACAGCTCGTGGTGTCGGGGAGGCGGGGTTGGACAGGCGTCTATGACGTCTCCTGGCCAAACCCCAATTGGCGGAGCCAGGAGATTGAATCTCCACCCTCGGGGCTCCTCCAGAAACAACAAAAAGCCGCTTCGTGTGGCCACGTGGAATGTTCGAACGCTCGCCGCGGAGGAGAGGCTGCCGCTCCTCTGTCGGGAGCTGGACCGGTACCGCCTGGATCTATGCGGTATTCAGGAGGTCCGGTGGACCGGCTCTGGCTCCTGCCACCATGAGGGGTGGACAGTCCTCTACTCGGGGCAGCAGACTGCCAAACAACAGGGAGTGGCTCTTCTTTTTGAACAAAAGAATGAAGGGGGCGTGGGAGCATGGCTGTGAGGTGTGGGAAGCTGTAAGCCCCAGGCTACTTTGGGCTCGCCTTCCCATCAACCGGAGGCGAGGGAGGAATGGTGGTCGTGGTTACTTATGCCCCCACCGAAGACGAACATCCGTGGAGGGATGCAGGCAAAGCCGATGAGTCAGATGCCTTCTATGACCTCCTGTCACAGGTGCTGGCTAAAGTGGCCCCTCGGGATAGAGTCATCATGTTGGGTGACTTCAATGCCCGAGTTGGTCATGATGCTGGCACCTGGTCTGGAGTGATTGGAGGACATGGGCCAGATCAGCTCAATAACAACGGTAGGAGGCTGCTAGATTTTTGTGCAGCCCATGGGCTTGTAATTACCAACACGCTGTTCCGGCATCGGCGCATCCACACAACATCATGGATGCATGCCGGGTCCAAGCAAGAACATCTGCTGGACTACATAGTGACGGACCAGCGAATGCGAGCCCATGTCCTTGACACCAGGACCTACCGTGGAGCTGATCTGGCCTCTGACCATCGACTAGTCATCTGTAAGATGCGCCTGCCATTCTTCCACTCCGGTGGTGGGTGTACACCCAGGACCCCATTCCAACATAAAGTGGCCTGGTCTCAGTTATCTGATGAAAGTTGCAAGCGAGAATTTCATCATTTCTTGCGGCTGGGATTGGCATCGTCCCCCACTCCTCCTGATGTCGAGGGGAAATGGTCAAGATTTAGGACTGTGACTCATACAGCTGCAATGGCTGCTTTGGGTACGCGGTCCAGACCTCCCCAGAGACCCTGGCTGACAGAGGAGGTGTTCAAGCTGACTGAGAAAAAGCGACAGGCCCACTGTCATCGGCTACAGAATCCCACGTCAGAGAATGAGGAGGCTTACCGCAGCCTTCGCTCGGAGGTTCGGAGAGCCGTGAGGCGCTGCAAGGATGGGTGGTGGTCGCGGGTTGCTGAGGAGATGGAGTCTGCCTCAGTGGCCCGTGATCACAAATCTCTATTTAACTCCATCAAAAAAGTAACCTGCAGCGCCACACCTATTACAATCATTAGGGGAAAAAACGGTGATCCAATCTCCGACCCCCAGGAACAGGTTTGCAGATTTGCTGAGCATTTCTGTGAGGTCCTGGGGGAGGGGAAATCCCTCAGCCAGGAAAACATCGTGGGACAAAGTGAGGATGACCCTGCTGAGGCTGCGGTGCCTCAAATATTTGAAGAAGTCACCCCCTGTGAGTGGCTGGCTGAGGTGCCATCTGTTGAGGAATTACTGATGGCGAACCGGAGTCTGAGACCAGGAAAGGCAGCGGGCAGAGATGATCTCCCAAGCGAAATGCTGAGGGAGGGTGGCGTTTGTGCACAGACTGCCCTATATGACATCATAACAACAGTCTGGACCACTAGACGGGTTCCGCAGGATTGGAAGGATGCCCTGGTGGTCCCCCTCTTTAAGAAGGGGGACCGCACAGACTGTAACAACTACAGGGGTATCTCACTCCTTAAGTGTGCCGGGAAAGGTCCTGGCAAGGATTATTCAACATCGCCTTGCCAGGCACGCTGAGGAGAGGCTTGCGGAGCCCCAATGCAGTTTCAGGAAAGGGCGGTCCTGCACAGATGCCATATTTTCTGTCCGTCTGCTACAGCCGAGGTGTAGGGAATTCCAGCAAGACCTACATCTCTGCTTTATTGACCTGGTCAAGGCCTATGATACCATCAGTAGGCCTGGGCTCTGGGTTGTTCTTCGTGCTTTCGGAGTCCCTGACCCTCTGCTCACGATCATTAAGGACCTTCATGATGGTGAGCGGGCCCAGGTAAAGCTTCGTGGCCGGGAGTCAGAGCCATTCCCTGTACACCTTGGGGTGCGACAGGGATGTCCTCTGGCTCCCACATTATTTAACATCTATTTTGACCACGTAGTTCGTGAAGCCTTCAATGGCCGTACTGGAGAAATTTACATCTGATACAGATATAATGGGAGGCTGATCGATGCCCGGGTGCGGTCAAGGGATGGCTCCCTATTGCTCAACCACGTTATGTATGCCGATGATTTGGTAATAGCTGCTCAGTCAGAGGAGGAGTTGGAGACGCTGCTGCTGAGACTGGAGCGTGCCACTAAGAGATGGGGCCTTACCATCAGCCCCACCAAAACTAAGCACCTGCCTGGGTATTTTGTACCATCGGACACTCCACCCCCAATACTCCCAATCGGTGATGGGGCAGTTGTGGAGAGAGTGGAGAGTTTCCCATACCTGGGCAGTGTGCTTATGACTGGCTCCAGTTTAACAGCAGAGGTCTCACTCCGAATCAGTCGAGCGGCAATATCTTTTCATCGGTTGCGTAACGCTGTGTGGAAGCTACCTGGTCTGTGATGGTTGTGGTGATCGTGGTGATGGTGGTGCTGATGATGGTGCTTATGGTGATGATGATGATGCTGCTGCTGATGATGATAATGATGATGCTGATGATGATGATGATACTGATGATGCTGATGATGATGCTGATGATGCTGATGATACTGATGATGATGCTGATGCTGCTGATGATGCTGATGATGCTGATGATACTGATGATGATGCTGATGATGATACTGATGATGCTGATGATGATGCTGATGATACTGATGATGCTGATGATGCTGATGATGATGCTGATGATGATGCTGATGATGCTGATGATGATGCTGATGCTGATGATGCTGCTGATGATGATGCTGATTCTGTGAGGCAGGTGTCAGCTGGTTCATCCCCCTGCATCGCTCAGCGCAGGGAGACTCACAAACTACACTCACATTGCAGGTAGCACCACCATCACCACCATCACAACCACCATCATCATCACCATCACTACACCATCATCACCATCATCATCACCATCACTACACCACCATCATCACCATCACCACTATCATCATCACCATCATCACCATCATCACCATCACTACACCACCATCATCACCATCATCACCATCACTATCATCACCATCATCATCACCACCATCACCACCATCATCAGCATCACCACCATCACCATCATCACCATCATCACCATCATCATCATCACCATCACCATCACCACCACCATCACCATCACCACACCACCATCATCACTATCACCATCACCACCATCACCATCACTATCATCACCATCATCACTTCAATATCATCACCATCATCATCACCACCATCATCATCACTATCATCATCATCACTATCATCATCATCACCACCATCACCACCATCACCATCATCACCATCATCATCACCATCACTACACCACCACCATCACCACAATCACTACCATCACCATCACCACCATCACAATCACCACCACTACACCACCACCACCATCACCACCATCACTATCACCATCACCACCACCACCATCACCACCATCACCACCACCATCATCAACATCATCACCATCACCACCATCACCATCATCATCACCACCACCATCACCACCATCACCACCATCACCACCACCATCACCACCACCACCACCATCACCACCACCATCACCACCACCATCACCACCATCATCATCACCACCATCACCACCATCACTATCACTACACCACCACCATCACCACCACCATCACCATCACCTCTCTGTGTCTCTCTAGGTCGGGCTGTCCCTGCGGCGTCCGACGTTCCGGGACGCCTCCTCCCAGCGTCTCCGCTCCCTCCGCCTGCAGCAGCAGCGGCGCCGTGAGAGGTCTCAGTGGTGGATGACGTAGTGGATGACGTAGTGGGTGACGTAGTGAGTGACGTAGTGAGTGAGTGGATGACGTAGTGGGTGACGTAGTGGATGACGTAGTGGGTGACGTCGTGAGTGAGTGGGTGACGTAGTGGGTGACGTAGTGGATGACGTAGTGGATGACGTAGAGGGTGACGTAGTGGGTGACATAGTGAGTGAGTGACGTAGTGAGTGACGTAGTGGGTGACGTAGTGGATGACGTAGTGGATGACGTAGGGAGTGACGTAGTGAGTGACGTAGTAAGTGAGTGAGTTAGTGATGACGTAGTGAGTGACGTAGTGGGTGACGTAGTGAGTGACGTAGTGATTGACGTAGTGAGTGACATAGTGGATGACGCAGTGAGTGACATAGTGAGTGAGTGAGTGAGTGACGTAGTGAGTGACGTAGTGGATGACGCAGTGGATGACGTAGTGAGTGACATAGTGGGTGACGTAGTGAGTGACGTAGTGAGTGACGTAGTGAGTGAGTGGGTGACGTAGTGGATGACGTAGTGATTGACGTAGTGGGTGAAGTAGTGGATGGCGTAGTGGATGACGTAGTGAGTGACGTAGTGAGTGAGTGAGTGATGACGTAGTGAGTAACGTAGTGGGTGACATAGTGGATGATGCAGTGAGTGACGTAGTGAGTGACGTAGTGAGTGACGTAGTGAGTGACGTAGTGGATGACGTAGTGGATGACGTAGCGAGTGACATAGTAGGTGACGTAGTGAGTGACGTAGTGAGTGACGTAGTGAGTGAGTGGATTACGTAGTGAGTGACGTAGTGAGTGGATGACGTAGTGAGTGACGTAGTGAGTGAGTGAGTGAGTGACGTAGTGGGTGACGTAGTGGGTGACGTAGTGGATGACGTAGTGGGTGACGTAGTGGATGACGTAGTGAGTGACGTAGTGGGTGACGTAGTGGATGACGTAGTGGATGACGTAGTGGGTGACGTAGTGAGTGAGTGACGTAGTGGATGACGTAGTGAGTGAGTGATGACGTAGTGAGTAACGTAGTGAGTGACGTAGTGAGTGAGTGAGTGACGTAGTGGATGACGTAGTGATTGACATAGTGTGTAAGTGAGTGATGTAGTGAGTGAGTGACGTAGTGAGTGAGGTAGTGAGTGAGTGACCTAGTGGGTGACGTAGTGGGTGAGTGAGTGACGTAGTGAGTGACATAGTGGGTGACGTAGTGGGTGACGTAGTGGATGACGTAGTGAGTGACGTAGTGAGTGACGTAGTGGGTGAGTGAGTGACGTAGTGGATGACGTAGTGAGTGATGTAGTCAGTGACGTAGTGAGTGATGTAGTGGATGATGTAGTGAGTGACGTTCTGGGTGAGTGAGTGACGTAGTGGGTGATGTAGTGAGTGACGTAGTCAGTGACGTAGTGAGTGACGTAGTGGATGATGTAGTGAGTGACGTAGTGGGTGACGTAGTGGATGACGTAGTGGATGAGTGAGTGACGTGGTGGGTGACGTAGTGAGTGACGTAGTGAGTGACGTAGTGGGTGAGTGAGTGACGTAGTGAGTGACGTAGTGAGTTACGTAGTGAGTGACGTAGTGGGTGAGTGAGTGACGTAGTGAGTGACGTAGTGGGTGAGCGGGTGACTTAGTGGGTGAGTGGATGAGTGACGTCACTGTTTGTTTACCAGGTCACTGAGGTCAGAAGCCAGGCGAGATCGGAAACCTGTGAGTGATGACATCATCACCATCATCATCACCATCACTGACATCATCACCATCATCAACTAACATCACTATCATCACTAACATCATCACCATCATCACTAACATCACTAACATCATCACCATCATCACTAACATCACTAACATCATCACCATCATCACTAACATCACTAACATCATCACCATCATCACTAACAACACTATCATCACTATCATCATCACCACCATCACCACCATCACTATCATCACCATCATCACTAACATCACTAACATCATCACCATCATCACTAACGTCACTATCATCATCACCACCATCACCACCATCACCATCATCACCATCATCATCACCATCATCACCATCATCATCACCATCATCAATAGCGTCACTATCATCACTAACATCATCACCATCATCACTAACATCACTATCATCATCACCATCATCACCATCATCATAACCATTACTAACATCATCACCATCATCACTACCACCATCACCATCATCACTAACATCACTAACATCATCACCACCATCACCATCATCACTATCACTACCACCATCACCACCATCACTAACATCACGAACATCATCACCACCATCACCATCATCACTATCATTACCACCACCATCACTAACATCACTAACATCATCACCATCATCACCATCATCACTATCATCATCACCATCATCACCACCATCACTAACATCATCACCATCATCACTATCATTACTATCATCATGACCATCATCACCATCACCATCATCACCACCACCATCACTAACATCACTAACATCACCATCACCACCATCAATAACATCATCACCATCACCATCATCACCACCATAACCACCATCACTAACATCACCATCACCACCATCACTAACATCATCACCACCATCACTAACATCACCACCACCATCACTAACATCATCACCATCACCACCATCACCATCATCACCACGATCAGTAACATCATCACCATCATCACCACCATCATCACCACCATCATCATCATCACCATCATCATCACCATCATCACTAGCGTCACTATCATCACTAACATCATCACCATCATCACTAACATCACTATCATCATCACCATCATCACCATCATCATAACCATTACTAACATCATCACCATCATCACTACCACCATCACTATCATCACTAACATCACTAACATCATCACCACCATCACCATCATCACTATCACTACCACCATCACCACCATCACTAACATCACTAACATCATCACCACCATCACCATCATCACTATCATTACCACCACCATCACTAACATCACTAACATCATCACCATCATCACTATCATCATCACCATCATCACCATCATCACTATCATTACTATCATCATGACCATCATCACCATCACCATCATCACCACCACCATCACCACCATCACTAACATCACTAACATCACCACCATCACCACCATCACTAACATCATCACCATCATCACTAACATCACTATTATCATCACGATCATCACCATCATCACTAACATCATCACCATCATCACTAACATCACTAACATCACCATCACCACCATCACTAACATCATCACCATCATCACCACCATAACCACCATCACTAACATCACCATCACCACCATCACTAACATCATCACCACCATCACTAACATCACTAACATCACCACCACCATCACTAACATCATCACCATCACCACCATCACCATCATCACCACGATCAGTAACATCATCACCATCATCACCACCATCATCACCACCATCATCATCATCATCACCACCACCATCACCACCATCACTAACATCACCATCACCACCATCACTAACATCATCACCACCATCACTAACATCACCACCACCATCACTAACATCATCACCAACACCAATATCACCAACATCATCATCACGAACATCACCATCACTAACATCAACATCACCATCATCACCAACACTAACATCACCACCATCATCACCAACATCACCAACATCACCAACACCAACATTACCAACACTAACATCACCAACATCACCAACATCACCACCATCATCACCATCATCACTATCATCATCACCATCATCACCATCATCACCACCATCACTAACATCATCACCATCATCACTATCGTTACTATCATCATCACCATCATAACCATCATCATCACCATCACAACATCATCACCATCATCACCACCACCATCACCACCATCACTAACATCACTAACATCACCACCATCACCACCATCACCACCATCACTAACATCATCACCATCATCACTAACATCACTAACATCATCACCATCATAACCATCATCACCATCACTAACATCATCACCATCATCACCACCACCATCACCACCATCAATAACATCACTAACATCATCACCATCATCACCATCACTAACATCTTCACCATCATCACTAACATCATCACCATCACCACCATTACTAACATCATCACCATCATCACCACCATCACCACCATCACTAACATAACTAACATCATCACCATCATCACCATCATCATCACCATCACTAACATCATCACCATCATCACCACCATCACCACCGTCACTAACATCACTAACATCATCACCATCATCACCATCATCATCACCATCACTAACATCATCACCATCATCACTAACATCATCATCATCTCCACCATCACTAACATCACTAACATCACTCTCATCATCACCATGATCACCATCATCACTAACATCATCACCATCATCACTAACATCACTAACATCACCATCACCACCATTACTAACATCATCACCATCACCATTATCACCACCATCACCACCATCACTAACATCACCATCACCACCATCACAAACATCATCACCATCATCACTAACATCACTAACATCATCACCACCATCACTAACATCACTAACATCACCACCACCATCACTAACATCACTAACATCACCACCACCATCACTACCATCATCACCAACACCAACATCACCAACATCATCATCACCAACATCACCATCACTAACATCACCATCATCACCAACACTACCATCACCAACATCACCACCATCATCACCAATATCACCAACATCACCAACACCAACATCACCAACACTAACATCACCAACATCACCACCATCATCACCATCATCACTATCATCATCACCATCATCACCATCATCACCACCATCACTAACATCATCACCATCATCACTATCATTACTATCATCATCACCATCATCACCATCATCATCACCATCAACAACATCATCACCATCATCACCATCACCACCATCACTAACATCACTAACATCACCACCATCACCACCATCACTAACATCATCACCATCATCACCATCATCATCACCATCACTAACATCATCACCATCATCACCACCACCATCACCACCATCACTAACATCACTAAATTCATCACCATCATCACCACCACCATCACCACATCACTAACATCACTAACATCATCACCATCATCACCACCACCATCACCACCATCACTAACATCACTAAATTCATCACCATCATCACCACCACCATCACCACCATCACTAACATCACTAACATCATCACCATCATCACCACCACCATCACCACCATCACTAACATCACTAACATCATCACCATCATCATCACCATCACTAACATCATCACCATCATCACCACCATCACTAAATTCATCACCATCATCACCACCACCATCACCACCATCACTAACATCACTAACATCATCACCATCATCACCATCACTAACATCATCACCATCATCACCACCACCATCACCACCATCACTAACATCACTAACATCATCGCCATGATCACCATTACCAACATCATCACCATCATCACTAACATCATCATCATCTCCACCATCACTAACATCACTAACATCACTCTCATCATCACCATGATCACCATCATCACTAACATCATCACCATCATCACTAACATCACTAACATCACCATCATCACCATCACTAACATCATCACCATCATCACCACCACCATCACCACCATCACTAACATCACTAACATCATCACCATCATCACCATCACCACCATCACTAACATCACTAAATTCATCACCATCATCACCACCACCATCACCACCATCACTAACATCACTAACATCATCACCATCATCACCATCATCATCACCATCACTAACATCATCACCATCATCACCATCACCACCATCACTAACATCACTAAATTCATCACCATCATCACCACCACCATCACCACCATCACTAACATCACTAACATCATCACCATCATCACCATCATCATCACCATCACTAACATCATCACCATCATCACCACCACCATCACCACCATCACTAACATCACTAAATTCATCACCATCATCACCACCACCATCACCACCATCATCATCACCATCATCACTAACATCATCACCATCATCACCACCATCAGTAACATCATCACCATCATCACTATTATTACTATCATCATCACCATCATCACCATCATCATCACCATCACCAACATCATCACCATCACCACCATCACTAACATCACTAACATCACCACCATCACCATCATCATCACCATCACTAACATCATCACCACCATCGCCACCATCACTAACATCACCATCATCACCACCATCACCATCATCACCACCATCACTAACATCACTAACATCATCATCACCATTATCACCACCATCACTATCATCATCACCATCATCACCAACACCACCACCATCATCACCACCATCACTAATATCATCACCATCACCATCATCACTAACATCATCACCATCATCACCACCATCAGTAACATCATCACCATCATCACCAACATCACCATCACTCTCATCATCATCACCACCATTATCACCATCAGCAACACCATCATCATAACAAGTTTGAATCATTTTAATACCTATCAGTAGTAGTAATTATAATAGTGTATGTGTGGCTACAGCTATCAGTTGTAGTGATTGTAATAGTGTATGTGTGGCTATACCTATCAGTTGTAGTGATTGTAATAGTGTATGTGTGGCTATACCTATCAGTTTTAGTGATTGTGATAGTGTATGTGTGGCTATACCTATCAGTTCTAGTGATTATAATAGTGTATGTGTGGCTATACCTATCAGTTGTAGTGATTGTAATAGTGTAAGTGGCTCTACCTATCAGTTGTAGTGATTGTAATTGTGTAAGTGTGGCTATACCTATCATTTGTAGTGATTGTAACAGTGTATGTCTGGCTATACCTATAAGTTGTAGTGATTGTAATAGTGTACGTGTGGCTATACCTATCAGTAATAGTGATTGTAAAAATGTACGTGTGGCTATACCTATCAGTTGTAGTGATTGTAATAGTGTACGCGTGGCTATACCTATCAGTTGTAGTGATTATAATAGTGTATGTGTTTCTATACCTATCAATTGTAGTGATTGTGATAGTGTATGTGTGGCTATACCTATCAGTTGTAGTGATTGTAATAGTGTACGTGTGGCTATACCTATCAGTTGTAGTGATTGTAATAGTGTATGTGTGGCTATACCTATCAATTGTAGTGATTGTAATAGTGTATGTGTTTCTATACCTATCCGTTGTAGTAATTGTAATCGTGTATGTGTCTATACCTATCAGTTGTAGGGATTGTAATAGTGTATGTGTGGATATAGCTATCAATTGTAGTGATTGTAATGGTGCATGTGTGGCTATACCTATCAGTTGTAGTGATTGTAATAGTGTATGTGTGGCTATACCTATCAATTGTAGTGTTTGTAATAGTGTATGTGTTGCTGTATCTATCAGTTGTAGTGATTGTAATAGTGTATGTGTGGCTTTGCCTATCAATTGTAGTGATTGTAATAGTGTATGTGTGTCTATACCTATCAGTTGTAGTGATTGTAATAGTGTATGTGTGGATATAGCTATCAATTGTAGTGATTGTAATGGTGCATGTGTGGCTATACCTATCAGTTGTAGTGATTGTAATAGTGTATGTGTGGCTATACCTATCAGTGGTAGTGATTATAATAGTGTCTGTGTGGCTATACCTATCAGTTATAGTGATTGTAATAGTGTCTGTGTGGCTATACCTATCAGTTGTAGTGATTGTAATAGTGTCTGTGTGGCTATACCTATCAGTTGTAGTGATTGTGATGTCGTTTCAGGTTATCAGAAGATACCTTGGACGACAGGAGTGGGAGTGATGACATCACCACCATCACCAACATCACCATCACCAACATCATCACCAACATCACCATCACTAACTTTAACATCACCAACATCACTAACACCACCATCACCAACACTAACATCACCATCACCACCATCACTAACATCATCACCATCACTAACTTTAACATCACCAACATCACTAACACCACCAACACTAACATCACCAACATCACCATCACTAACATCAACAACACTAACATCACCAACATCACCATCACCAACATCACCAACATCACCATCACTAACATCACCATCACCAACATCACCAACATCACCATCACTAACATCACCAACATCACCATCACTAACATCACCAAGATCACCAACATCACCAACATCACCAACATCACCATCACCAACATCACCAACATCACTAACACTAACAACACTAACATCACCAACATCACCAACATCACCATCACCAACATCACCAACATCACCAACATCACCAACACCAACATCACCAACATCACCAACATCACCATCACCAACATCACCAACATCACCACCATCACCAACATCACCCTCACTAGCATTAATCACCAACATCACCAACATCACCATCATCACCATCACCAACATCACCAACATCACTAACATCACCAACACCAACATCACCAACATCACCAACATCACCACCATCACCAACATCACCCTCACTAGCACTAACATCACCAACATCACCAACACCAACATCACTAACATCACCAACATCACCAACATCACCCTCACTAACACTAACATCACCAACATCACCAACATCACCATCACCAACATCACCAACATCACCAACATCACCATCACCAACATCACTAACATCACCATCACCAACATCACCAACACTAACACTAACATCACCATCATCACCACCATAACCAACATCACCAACATCACCAACATCATCATCACCAACATCACCAACATCACCATCACCAACATCACTAACATCACCATCACCAACATCACCAACACTAACACTAACATCACCATCATCACCACCATAACCAACATCACCAACATCACCAACATCATCATCACCAACATCACCACCATCACCAACATCACCATCACCGCCATCATCATGAACAACATCATCACCACCACCAGTACCACCAAAGACAAAGCTCTCCCAGGTAGCCTCTAGCAAGAGGCTGTAGGGGCACGTGCTGTTCACTACACACAGACAAAGCTCCCCCAGGTAGCTGACAGGGCTGTAGAGGCAAGTGCTGTTCACTACATACAGACAAAGCTCCCCCAGGTAGCCTCTGACAGGGCTGCAGGGGCAAGTGCTGTTCACTACACACAGACAAAGCTCCCCCAGGTAGCCTCTGACAGGGCTGTAGGGGCAAGTGCTGTTCACTACACACAGACAAAGCTCCCCCAGGTAGCCTCTGACAGGGCTGTAGGGGCAAGTGCTGTTCACTACACACAGACAAAGCTCCCCCAGGTAGCCTCTAACAGGGCTGTAGGGGCAAGTGCTGTTCACTACACACAGACAAAGCTCCCCCAGGTAGTCTCTGACAGGGCTGTAGGGGCAAGTGATGTTCACTACACACAGACAAAGCTTCCCCAGGTAGCCTCTGACAAGGCTGTAGGGGCAAGTGCTGTTGGTAGCGAGTAGTAGCGGCAGCGTCTATGAAGGCTACCGGCACTGTGGCTACACAAAGACAAAGATCCCCCGTGTAGCCTTGACAGGCTGTAGGGGCAAGTGCTGTTAGCGAGCACCTATGAAGGCCAGAACGGTACACGAGGGGGTGGGTGGCCAGCACCACGCCCGACCGCCTTTGTCTCCCCAGTGGCAATGTTTACACACCGCACCAGGTACTCATTTGAGGCTGATTCGACCTTGGGGAGGCCCGGGACCGGTTCAGATAATCGTCACGCACACTCAAACACTCACTCACCCACTCACTCACCAAATCACCCACTCACTCACCCACCCACTCACTCACCCACTCACTCACTCACCCACTCACTCACTCACCCACTCACTCACTCACTCACCCACTCACTCACCCACTCACTCACTCACCCACTCACTCACCCACTCACCCACCCACTCACTCACCCACTCACTCACTCACCCACTCACCCACTCACTCACTCACCTACTCCCCACCCACCCACTCACACACCCACCCACCGACTCACTCACCCACTCACTCACTCACCCAATCACCCACTCACTCACTAACCCACTCACCCACTCACCCACTCACTCACTCACCCACTCACTCACTCACCCACTCACTCACCCACTCACCCACCCACTCACTCACCCACTCACTCACTCACCCACTCACCCACTCACTCACTCACACACTCACTCACCCACTCACTCACTCACTCATCCACTCACTCACTCACTCACCCACTCACTCACCCACTCACCCACTCACTCATCCACTCACCCACTCACTCACCCACTCACCCACTCACTCACCCACTCACTCACCCACTCACCCACTCACTCACACACCCACCCACTCACCCACTCACCCACTCACTCACCCACTCACTCACTCACCCACTCACTCACCCACTCACCCACTTACCCACTCACTCACTCACCAACTCACCCACTCACTCACTCATCCACCCACTCATTCACCCACCCACCCACTCACCCACTCACTCACCCACTCACCCACCCACTCACCATCACGTGGTGGTGGTGGTGGTTGTAGTAAATTTTTAATCTATTTTGACGCAAACCGCTAGTGGTTATCGATATTAAACCATGAGTGCTGTTCAGTGGTTCAATAAATAGTCGATGGCTCTCTGTGGTGAGTCTGTGGGTCTCTGTGTGGTGGTGGTGAGCCTGTGGGTCTCTGTGTGGTGAGTCTATGGGTCTCTGTGTGGTGAGTCTATGGGTCTCTGTGTGGTGAGTCTGTGGGTGTCTGTGTGGTGAGTCTATGGGTCTCTGTGTGATGAGTCTGTGGGTGTCTGTGTGGTGAGTCTGTGGGTCTCTGTGTGGTGAGTCTGTGAGTCTCTGTGTGGTGAGTCTATGGCTCTCTGTGTGATGAGTCTGTGGGTCTCTGTGTGATGAGTCTGTGGGTCTCTGTGTGATGAGTCTATGGGTCTATGTGTGGTGAGTCTGTGGGTCTCTGTGTGGTGGTGAGTCTGTGGGTCTCTGTGTGGTGATGGTGAGTCTGTGGGTCTCTGTGTGGTGAGTCTGTGGCTCTCTATGTGGTGGTGAGTCTGTGGGTCTCTGTGTGGTGAATCTGTGGGTCTCTGTGTGGTGAGTCTGTGGGTCTCTGTGTGATGAGTCTATGGCTCTCTGTGGTGAGTCTGTGCGTCTCTGTGGTGAATCTGTGGGTCTCTGTGTGTTGGTGGTGAGTCTATGAGTCTCTGTGTGGTGATAAGTCTATGGGTCTCTGTGTGGTGGTGGTGAGTCTATGGGTCTCTGTGTGGTGGTGAGTCTGTGGGTCTCTGTGTGGTGATAAGTCTGTGGGTCTCTGTGTGGTGGTGGTGAGTGTATGGGTCTCTGTGTGGTGAGTCTGTGGGTCTCTGTGTGGTGAGTCTATGGGTCTCTGTGTGGTGATAAGTCTGTGGGTCTCTGTGTGGTGAGTCTGTGGGTCTCTGTGTGGTGAGTCTATGGGTCTCTGTGTGGTGATAAGTCTGTGGGTCTCTGTGTGGTGAGTCTATGGGTCTCTGTGTGGTGAGTCTGTGGGTCTCTGTGTGGTGAGTCTATGGGTCTCTGTGTGGTGATAAGTCTGTGGGTCTCTGTGTGGTGAGTCTGTGGGTCTCTGTGTCATGATGAGTCTATGGGTCTCTGTGTGGTGAGTCTATGGCTCTCTGTGTGGTGAGTCTGTGGGTCTCTGTGTGGTGAGTCTATGGGTCTCTGTGTGGTGAGTCTATGGCTCTCTGTGTGGTGAGTCTGTGGGTCTCTGCATGGTGAGTCTGTGGGTCTCTGTGTGATGAGTCTGTGGGTCTCTGTGTGATGAGTCTATGGGTCTCTGTGTGATGAGTCTGTGGGTCTCTGTGTGATGAGTCTATGGGTCTCTGTGTGATGAGTCTATGGGTCTCTGTGTGGTAAGTCTATGGCTCTCTGTGTGATGAGTCTATGGGTCTCTGTGTGGTGAGTCTGTGGGTCTCTGTGTGATGAGTCTATGGGTCTCTGTGTGGTGAGTCTGTGGGTCTCTGTGTGGTGATGGTGAGTCTATGGGTCTCTGTGTGGTGAGTCTGTGGGTCTCTGTGTGGTGGTTGTGAGTCTATGGGTCTGTGTGGTGAGCCTATGGGTCTCTGTGTGGTGAGTCTGTGGGTCTCTGTGTGGTGAGTCTGTGGGTCTCTGTGTGGTGGTGGTGAGTCTATGGGTCTCTGTGTGGTGGTGAGTCTGTGGGTCTCTGTGTGGTGAGTCTGTGGGTCTCTATGTGATGAGTCTGTGGGTCTCTGTGTGGTGAGTCTGTGGATCTCTGTGTGGTGAGTCTATGGGTCTCTGTGTGATGAGTCTGTGGGTCTCTGTGTGGTGGTGAATCTATGGGTCTCTGTGTGGTGAGTCTGTGGGTCTCTATGTGATGAGTCTGTGGGTCTCTGTGTCATGATGAGTCTATGGGTCTCTGTGTGGTGAGTCTATGGCTCTCTGTGTGGTGAGTCTGTGGGTCTCTGTGTGGTGAGTCTATGGGTCTCTGTGTGGTGAGTCTATGGCTCTCTGTGTGGTGAGTCTGTGGGTCTCTGTGTGGTGAGTCTGTGGGTCTCTGTGTGATGAGTCTATGGGTCTCTGTGTGATGAGTCTGTGGGTCTGTGTGTGATGAGTCTATGGGTCTCTGTGTGATGAGTCTATGGGTCTCTGTGTGGTAAGTCTATGGCTCTCTGTGTGATGAGTCTATGGGTCTCTGTGTGGTGAGTCTGTAGGTCTCTGTGTGGTGAGTCTATGGATCTCTGTGTGGTGAGTCTGTGGGTCTCTGTGTGATGAGTCTATGGGTCTCTGTGTGATGAGTTTGTGGGTCTCTGTGTGATGAGTCTATGGGTCTCTGTGTGATGAGTCTATGGGTCTCTGTGTGGTAAGTCTAT